GCCCAGCTTGGAACTCAACTCCCAGAACTTGGAGTTCAACTCTCACATCCCCACTGCTAAATATCCCTATTACAATGGACAGGCACAACGGATAAACTTTTTTAAGTAGATTTAAGCAGAAACCAAAATTAATTTCAAAGAGGCGTGGTGTTACCCTCGGTGCATGAAAAACAGTAGTCTAATAACTCAAGTGTCAGAACCCAAGGATGGGTTTAAGCCAATGAGTTATCATACTTTGGACATCTGCCTTGACAAATAGTAAGAAAGAATTCACATGAATTTCTGATTCGTTATGAGCTCTTCCAACAGATTTGCTCTTTCATTATACTTGAGCATTTTAGTAACAAACGGAAAATCCATTTGACGTTGACAAAAATCTTTGTAAAATTTAACAACCAATTTTATTTAATCCCTGTGCACATGGTTACCAGATGAAAGATGAAGTTTTCTGTCATAAAATCCCAAGCAAAAATTCCACTGCAACAATAAAATCCAGAATGGATTATCTAAGAAGCAGTAAGACTAATACATTTATTACAATGTAAGGAAACGAAAAATGAAAAAAAGAAACACTGACAAAATAAAATGAATTGACTTTTATCCTGCATAGATTGTGGTAAATATATAAACTCCTTTAAAAGCTCAAAATCTGAAGTCTAAATAAAAAGGTTTTCAACATAAGAAATTCTGGTGACCATTTTCAAGAGCTTATCTATGTTTTCTAAGATCAATGCTAGAACTTTTAATATATGAAGTTCTTAGGTAAGTTTGAATCATTTTTAGCAATTAACCTAAAAGACTTAATAGTTCTTCCAACATATAAAAAAGTCCTCAAAGATTTATAACAATAGTGTGTTGCTAATGTGCAACATAGATATGCAACATAAATCAATTTATAAGATAGAACTTTTGTTAATTTGCTCAAAGCACCATAGTCAGCTAAGGTGACATTAACCACCTAACACACATACACACACACACACACACACACACACACACACACACACACACAGAAAAACCTGTAAGAAATTCATTTGCATAATAACAAGGGAAAATCTGAAGGAATTTCAAAATAAAAACACACATAAATGATCTAATATTTAAGACAAAAGATGAATGTTACCTAGAGAAAAGAAAGAGAGAGAGAAAGATACTAAGGCTAGTAAGGAAACATTTTGAAATTTCAGCTCTTGTGATTCTTCTATTTCCTTCCTCCCTTTCAAGAATAAGCAACTTGTCTTTACAAAAAAAAATGCATCAAAAAGATTAATACTCTGAAGGCAACATTTTAACCATGTGCTCTGTGACAGAATCATAACTATACTCAGCCTATATATAAAAATGTTTCCATCTTTATCATAATACTGTTGAACTATATTAAATCAATCTGCATTGAACACTTTTTCTAAACTTAATTCTTGATATCACTTACCATAGCATTCATTTAAACATGATTAAATTTTCATTCTTAGTATTGAAAATTCTATGCAAAAACTAACTATAGTTCTTATAGTAACGCTACATTAAATGTACTACTTAGTATTTTTAAAATCACTTTTAAGCTGAGTTCTGGCACCTTATGACTATAACTCTAATGGTTTGCAATTGTAACTTGAAGCTAGCCTAGACAGAAAAGTACATCTCCAAAAATAAGACTCCATCTCTAAAAATTACCAGCAAAAAGCCAGGATACATGAGTAGCTGAACTGGTAGAGCATTAACTAAGTAAATAGGAATCCTGAGTTCAAACCATCATAAATAAATAAATAAATCATTTTTACAACCTGTTAATCTCCATTTCTATTAAGCTGCTTCCTATTTCTAAATTAACGTGCTCAACAGCAAGGTATTTAAAGTTCCATTCTATGTTTAAACATATCAATACATAAATTATATTTGTATTTTAAAAATGTACTTATAACTATAGGACACCTCTACTCCAAACTACACCCTTACACCTACCAAATTAAAGTACATGATTTCTGACTTTAGTAAGCATGCCAATGGTCTTCTGCTATATTTTCCCTCCCTGATGTAGGATAATGAACTGAGAAATAGTGTATTGCTATATGTGCTAAATATCTTTTCCCAATCACAAGTGGCTCAACTTCTTAATTCCCTAAGTTGTCTTTAATAAGATACCTACCATTCAAATGTTTAAATTCACGGGTGGGATATAGGAAGGGATAGGAAGGGGAACTCATTATCTTGCCCATGTAATTCTAACTCTTCTGTACGGTATTTTCATAATAATAAAAAAAGAAAAGGAAGAAAAATGTTTAAATTCACTTAACACACTAAAAATTGAACAATAAACCAACTGACTACTCTTCCTATTTCAACTGACCATTCAACTTGTTAATTTCTTAAACAATCAATCAGACAAACAAACAAACCTCTACACAAATATGGCATGGACATTAGAGGCTCATTTTTTAAATCACACAAGAAAGACTTGGGCTTAGAAAAAAGGTATGAAAGGTATGTATGTACATATGTATGTATGTGTGTAGCATGAAATTTGGTAGGTAACAGCCCTAAAAATATCATGAATCACAGGCTAAGATTTGGCTATTCACTGGAGTACATGGCTTAAGAAATCTCATATTGAGGATTTCTTGCCTCAACAGCTAACATGGAGGAACTAAAACAGAAATGTGAAATGGCGCAATAGGACCTTGAAATCAGAAAATTGAGGAAGTAAAGACACTAAGAAAAACAACTTTATGAGTGCTATCATCCAATAACCCCCCCCCACTACTGATTCATCAGTTATCATGCCCAATTCTTGCAGGATACAGAACATACAGAAAAAGGTACCAGAAAAGGTAGTATATCATCTTTTTGGTGATATAAACAAAAAGAGCTACACAATTTGTTGCAAACAAAAACAATTTTGAGCAGAGGAGAGAGGCTCTACTGCTCTACAACAATGTCCTATACTCTAATGACATGATTTGAAATTAATAAAATGTCTAGTGTTCATCCCTGCCTTAAAACCAGAAGCCAGAAAGAACCTGTGAGCCTAAAACTGTATGGATATATGAAGAAAACGGTGAGTGTTTTACAATTATATAAAGGCAGCTCCCTATGTAATTATTTTAAACAAATTCCCTCAAGTGAACCTACTTCCTTAAAATCTAGGAACTATTTTTCTTCTTTCCAAAGTTACTCTGAAGAAGAGGGCTCCTTCTATGCAGCATGGATGCTTTGTTTCCCAGTGTTCAGGAGCATTCCCCTCTTCTGTATTGAAGACCTTCTCTTAGCTCTTGAGCTTGACCATGGGCAGAAACCATAACAAATTTTATAATTAACAGTGCAGTTCTAAGAGATGGTCCTCAAATTGACCACAGAATATCTGAGAAGCACTGGCAGGCATTAGAGAACCTGCAGGAATGAGAGGCAGAGCTGCTAGGCAGACTTGGAGAAGAGCCATTTTTTTTCCTTCCTCCAAGAATCCATTCAGGCATATCTCACAGGTCAGAGCATTAAGATGACTGAATTTTTCCCTAACTAGACTTTTAGGAAAGCTTAACTGGTTTCTGTATTCTGATCCTACCTTCTAAGCAACAACACAGCTACCAAAATCATCCAGAACATTTGGAATTTTTCTCAGCACTAAGGTGAAATGTTGACTTGCCAATGCCTTAGGCAGAAATCAAGTATCACTTACAGGGCGCTTCTGAATTTTCAAAAGCTCATATATTTCTTGACAATGCTATGTCTACAACATAGCACTGAAGACAGAAGCACACTTTTTTTTTCCTTACTGAAAAGTTTGGGTTTACTTGTCCCCATGAGACTCTCTGCCTATAAGGTCCTGTTAATAAAAAATAAATGAAAATAAAAATATACAATGTTCACATCGTGCATGGGCAGAAATCCAAGAATTCATGTTTCATTTTTCTATTTTTCCTTTCTTCTTGACACTGAATGATAGGCATTGTTGTTTTCATACATGCATACTGTTGAGCAAAAAAAAAAACAAAACAAAAAACCTAGCTGGGAGCCAGTGGTTCATGCCTACAACTCCAGCTACTTAGGTAGCTAAGACCTGAGGATTTTGGGTTCCAAGGCAGTCCCAGCAGGAAAGTCCATGAGACTTCTTATCTCCAATTAATCACCAGAAAAGCAGAAGTGGCTCTGTGGATTAAAATGGTACAGTGCTAGCCTTGAGTGAAGAAATCAGAGACAATGCCCAGGCTCTGATTTTAAGGCCCATACTGACAAAAATAAAAGGAAAAAAAGGAGAGGAAAGGAAAGGAAAGGAAAGGAAAGGAAAGGAAAGGAAAGGAAAGGAAAGGAAAGGAAAGGAAAGGAAAGGAAAGGAAAGGAAAGGAAAGGAAGAAAGGAAGGAGGGAGGGAGGGAGGGAGGGAGGGAAGGAAGGAAGGAAGGAAGGAAGGAAGGAGAAAGAAAGGAAGGAAGGAAGGAAGGAAGGAAGGAAGGAAGGAAGGAAGGAAGGAAGGAAGGAAGGAAGGAAGGAAGGAAAAGAAAGAGAGGGAGAAGACAAGACAACCTGTCTGTATTCACCATCTCCTTCAGATTACATTCTTGTGATTTATATCTCTGCAAGCGTCCTTATTCAGTCAATACTGGGTCATATCTCCTTAAAGTTTGAAAAGTCATGTGGTTATTTTAGGGTAACAGATGTGCATCCCTTCTGGGATTGGAAACTTCCCTGCTTCCAAAGGCAGCTTTGCTGTTTTGCATAATCACCAGGCATGATTAACCAACATTCAATTGGAGCTAAGAGCAAAGATAAACAAGTCACTGCCTACCTAGGGTATCAGATATGTGTACAATATACACAAACAGCTTATGAGCTGCTTTCTGCCCCGATAGCTTTATCACTGTAAACTCCTCCATGGATAGAGCCTATTTAATACGACTTCACAAAATCGTAACAGTGCATCAAGAGAATGTGTGACCTCCCCATCATTCCCCCCACCCCATTTTCCCTGTAAAATATAAGAATCATTTAAACAGTAAACCTTCCTACCCGTAACAGGGACTGGGACTCATCCTTGGACTTGTTTTCTCCTGAGGCAGGATACTGCGGGGTGAGGGACCCAGACTTTTCACCAGCTGGCACGCCCTGAAGGAATCCCTTGGTCTCCACAGCCAGGCCATAAATAGGTCTCGCCAGGTGGGCAGCTTCGACATTGGGGCTATCCCTCAGAGTCTTTGTCTGTTCTTGTGTGCCAGACACAGGTGTGAGGAGTCCCAGGCTCGCTTGAGTGTAGGATGGGCTGCCGCGGAGGATGTCAGCCCCTCGCCAAGCCACGCTGCGAAGATCGTCACTGGAACTCTCAGTCCAAACTTTCTCTTTGAGCCCTTCCTTATCATCCAGCTTCTCCCTCTTCACCACACTCTCAGAAACGGGCTCTCCCATTTTAGAGTCTGGGTTTAGCAGACTGTAGACCTTGAGGTCAATTTTGGGCTCCTCCTTGATGGTGGAGATGGCATGACCATCCTCCTCGCCATTGGCTGTAGTGATGTCCTGCTCCTGGCAGTGGACGGTGTTGAAGTGCTCCAGTAGTGACTGAGTGTCAGCAGCTGTGAAACTGCACTGGCGGCATTTGTAGCAGCTGTGTGCTCTCCTGGAAGAGAAGAAAACAGTCAATGGAGAGCCTGCATGGAGATTTTGGCTTCAAAATAGATTTTAAACACCTGGATTTTACTCCAAGCTATCCAAGTAGATAGAAATGCTGTATTCCTAACATCCAGAAATTGGAATTTAATGAACTAACAGTTCCAATTTGATATAAAAAATATGAAGTTCGCTTTTTGTTACATGAGCAGTAACAGGTACACATATGCACACACACCCACACATGCATGCATGCATGCATGTACACAGGCACACTTTTGAGCTTACATTCCAGCTGATAAGCATTAAAACTGGCTGGTTGGCTTTATGATCAAATTACCTGCTCTCTTCATTTTCTCTTGATGCATAATCATCAATTCAGTATAAGTTAAGTCAATATGCATACATTTTTACACCTGATTTCACCAATGGACTTCACTTTCTGTTTACTTAAACTAAAGTGAAGCTGTTGGGGTATTTTCTAATGCAAAGGTTCTTGGTACAGTTTTCACATATATTAAGATACACTCAAAGTGAAACAATTGTTATTTTCTATATTAAATGTAAATTCATTTAGTCATTGAGATATGGCTATCCGAGCTACGTAATCTAGTACATAATATATAGGAAAATCACAAGAATTTTCTAAACAATTCTACCTATCTATAAGAACGTAAACTGAACAAATTGAGTATCTTTGGGAGATCAAATACAATCCTATCCTCTGTACAGATATGTTCATTAAAATGACATATGTCCTTTCTTTTCAAGACATAAAACAAAGACATCTTATCAGATCTCAAAATATCTAAAGGAACACTAATATTTGACTAACAAAGAACAATGGAGATTCTGCACTGTAAGAAGCATGACGGAAAGGTACACAAATGATTTAGAGTAAGGTCATCTTTCTTCAACTATAAAAGTCTTATTTGACTCAAAATAAATACTACATAAAAAGACTTTCTACTCCCCTGATACAATGTTATGAGTTACCAACACAGTTAACAAAATAAACAACCAGTTGTTACTTAAATGTCCTTCAATCATCAATTCCTTTGTCAGATATTTACACATTAATAAATGGTGTACACATATTCCTTGCCCACCTTGTGTTTAGTATCTAATGAATAAGGACTAAAGCATGTAAGACTATACATAATAGCCGGACGCTGGTGGCTCATGGCTATAATCCTAGATACTCAAGAGGCTGAGATCTGAGGATCACAGTTCAAAGCCAGCCCAGGCAGGAAAGCCCTTAAGACTCTGATCTCCAATAAGCCACTCAGAAAACCGGAAGTGGCACTGTGGCTGAAGTGGTAGTGCGCTTGCCTTGAGCTGAAGAGCTGAGTGACAGCATACAGGCCTAGAGTTCAAGCCCCACGACTACAAAAAACAAAAAGACTATACATATTTAAGTACAAAGACTGATATGTGCTAAGAATCAGTGGATAGGATGATTATGGCGGAAGGAGATAAAGAGGGCTGTTTAAGTTAGACAGGCAGAATTTTCTTAAGTTGGGAGATAAAAATCAAATGATAAAATGGAGTTCTACAACTACTTAAAAATAATTAAAGCAACAGAAAACCATGTTAGTAAATATAATGGGAAAAAACAGAGCTGTAAGTGTTAGAGGAAGTGAAAGGGGAAAGGAACCACATTCTAGAAAGTCTGAGATACTGAAAAGAGGCCAATGTGGATAGAGGGCAATAAGTAAAAGGCAGGATTCCAATGAACAAGCTGGCAAGGTCTCCCCAAGATTTGATATCTACTTATTCTATAGTCTAGAAATATCTTTGAACTGCCCATCCCTTAACCAAATCAATGACTGCATCAAACCATTACTCATTATTTGATCAATACTTTTCTCATCTATACAAAGTTCTGGTCCCAACTCAAATGAGTTCATCACAACCTGTCACACAAGGTGTCTCGTTGTTTTTTTAGTTTGCAATGAAAGTCCTATCAGTCCTATCAGGTCTGACTCCTGTTAGGTCTCATTTAGAGTTTTCTTTTATCGACTCTACATACATAGGAATTCTTCCTCTAACCACCTCCAAAACCCATCCATGTGGCTGCAGATGCTAAAACCATCAGAATACAGAGAACAGTGTGACCAGTGTAAAGCAAATTGGAGGTAGACATCTCAGAAGTAACTTCTCAGTAAAGCCTGAAAAGCAAAACACATTTTAACAGGAAAGATGTGAAAAGGAAGTTGCAGAAACAAACTCTCAGTTCATCCATCTTGCCTTTTGAAAGCACTCACAACCTATAGGAACCCATAGACACTGAGCCCTAAGGCCTACCTCAGAGGAAGTGATGTGGAAAAATAGTGCTTTACTCACTTAGTCTAATTCCATGAAGAACCCAGGGCTTCCAGTCCCCAGATCCATGTTCCTTCTATCCTCTGCTTCCTAAATCATAAACATTTTATAAAATAATTGAAGCTGTAGAACATAGGGAAAATGATATGATTCTAACAAAGATCCCCTGACTGATACAGGGGATTTCAAATAATGGCTTTCAAACCAGACTGTGCAATCCAAAGATCCAGGACTCCTTTTCCTGATTAAGCAGAATGCTGTGAGCAAAAATCAAGAGTCTTGGTTTTTAACTGGTCCTCAGAGTGTGTAATGCAGAAACCAATGACTATCTAAAAACTATATTACCAAATATATCCCAATTCTTATTAATTAATTAATTTATTTATTTTTTGTGAACATACTGTACAGGGGGGTTACAATTACATGGGCAAGATAATGAGTACATTTCTTATCAAGCATTGCAGCCTCCTCCTTTGTTTGTCCTTCACATCCCTTCCCAGCCTCCCACCTGCCCCCCCCAATCCTCCCCCCACCCCGCACTGCCCTCCCCCTGACCACCAAAGTTGTAAAGTTCGTTTTCGACATGACAACTTGTACTTCTCATTGTTGCAACGGGTCCACCTGTATCCTTAAACAACTGGTTTTTCCCCCTCTCCTCTACAAATTATACCAACATCAAATATAGTGAAAACAGGGGTTATACTGTGGGGGAGGGACATACAAAGCAACAAAGAAATAATCTTATAAATGCTTTATAAACAAATGCATGAAAGAAAAATACCTTTAAATACATAGCTAAGGGTTCATTTTCCTAACATCACATTATCTGACCTTTTCTGCTTGACTCATACATATACTAGATATTGCAAATAAGAGAAACCATGGGACCTATGTTTCTTTGGGCTTGGCTTACTTCACGTAATATAATTTTTTCCAAGCCTTTCTATTTCCTAACAAAAAAAAATATATCCCAATTCTAAGCAACTGAATGAATAAATTCACAAGATAGCTTCTGTCCTCTAACTGCAACTGAACACAGTTAATGACCTTACTCTCTTTCTTTGAAATTTTAAAATTCTGATTTTTGACTACAACTCATAAAATCAGAGTAAAGCTTGGCAATGAAGCATAAACTACTAAGCTGCTCCGTCATGCAGACCATTGGATTCTTTAGATGAAGCAGAAAAGGCAATTTCCACAAAGTACACTTGAGACTTGAAGAACTTTTCTCTCCTATATCAATCCAAAATAAATGATAGAATATATATTAAGAGGCATTACTTTGAAATGTTTGGAGCATTATAAAGTTCTTAATAACCTCAGAGTGCCTCTCAAATTCTAACACACAAAGGACCACAGCTTGGGTGTTACATGTTATGCTGCTCTGGTCAGAATTAACTTCAAGATAGAATGAGTGAGCTTTAGAAGAATTCTCAGCATGAATATATATTTAGCACATTATAGAATAGTCAATAATCAAATAAATTTTCCTGGTGAACAGTATCACTTTACCATTTAAGCTCTACACAATAGTTAATATTAATAGCTGTGTATATGTAAAGCACAATGTGATACTGTCAAGATTACTTCCAAGCTGGGAAGTGGCTTAGTGGTAGAGTGTTTGCCTAGCATACATAAAGCCCTGGATTTGATTTCTCAGTACCACATAAACAGAAAAAGCTGGAAATGGCGCTGTGGCTCAAATGGAAGAATGCTAGCCTTGAGCAAGAGAAACTCAGGGACAGTGCCCAGGGCTGGCCAAAAAAAAAAAAAGATTTCTTCCAAATCAATTGTTTTTTTTTCTATTTCATGGTTTAAGAATTGCCCTTTGAGATTATTTATTACTAGATGATTCATGTATACAGACCAAGAAGATAAAACACAGATCAACTCACATAAAATAATACTGATTTTAGAAGTTAAACCCCTTTACACAACTGCATCATCCTCCTTATACTGAGGAAAATATATTGCAAGTCTGCTCTTCTCTGTGGGTACTATTTAACACTATGTTGTTTGCTAGCTAATTCAATGTTTCTAACTTATTCAGGAACTCGGTGCTAACATTTTGGACATTGTCTTTGACCTGTATCATTCTCTCAGTAATCACTGACAAGATATTCAGTATGAACCTCCAAAGAATAAGAACTGATTATTAAAAGCCCTGGTATAAGAAATATTACTCATGAAGTATGGTTTAATCCTATTGATGCTATATTAGTTTGAATTCTTCTCTAAACTACTAAATACATGTTCGTTTGTTAGCATTAATCTGAAACGTTCCAAGAACATCGGGACATTTTCTTCCATTTCTCTGAATCCCTTGCTCCACAAAGAATCCCTTGCTCCTCAAATGAATCAATCCAAGAATAAAACTCACATCTTTTGAGTTGCCCTAAAATGTCATGTTCTACTTAGCAGTTACCCCTTATCTTTTTAATAAAATCTACATTTATTTTTCAGTGATATTTTAGTTACCCTAAGAGTGAGACCAAAACTGATACAACTATGTGTACTGACCCTACCTAGAACATCGCAACAGCCAGGAAATACTTGCTTAACTAACTAAATGAATAAACCACCACAGCTCTGGGGATGTTCAGGACATTGGACCTAATAAAGCAGGAAAGAAATATTAAGAGGTACACACGTATTTTTCAAATGACCTATTTTGAGTGGGACTCT